AAGAAAGAAAGAAAGAAAGAAAGAAAGAAAGAAAGAAAGAAAGAAAATAAATTACATTACCTGGATTCACAATCTCAAAAGTAGAGAATACTTAGCTTTACAGTCCAATTTATTAAACAATATTTTTGTTAACTATAACAAAACTGTCATGTAAAGACAAATTTCAATTTCAAAGTGCTCTGATAACAAAAGTAAAAACATTCTTGTCAGGCATCAATGTCAGCTTCACTGAAATTTACAATTAATGCCACCAAAGGGTTTTATTTTATTTTAAATTGCTCTTAAAATTTATTTTGTTTTATAATGCTTTATTAAATCTATTATATTTACAAAAGCATTGTTAATGTTGGAGAATTATAGTTATGCTTCAAGTAACTTCCCATAATAAGCTTGAATTACAAATAAAATACTTATGCAATTTTATATCCTTGAAAATTACACAAACTTGACCTAGAAAAAAAACAACCCATATAGACTGCAAAGAGTAAGGTTAAGTTTAAGAAAATAAAAATGCAAATACACATTTTACCACTCTCTTGAATTTATTAACCTAAAAGGTTTAATTTCCATTTTCCTGCATCAGCTTTATTTATAAAATGTCGTGCCCTATAAATATGCTGTTATTTTCTATAGTCAAGCACCCTCTTAACAAATCTTCTCATTAATATGTAAATTTAAAGTCAATCGGTCTTCTCCCTGACAGCCCCATGAATTCCTAGTGCACTGGATAATCGGCTTTGACTTGGCATCCACTATTTATCATCAAAGATGTCAGTTAGAAAAATTATGGAAAATGCAGTGCAATTGATATGACTGCAATCTACTTTGTCAACACTTAATTGTTCCTCAAATCATACATTTACATATAAACAGCCTAAATACTGATCTATAATGATGCAAATAAACTAAATTAAAATCTCTTCTAACCTGAAGTTTGTTTGTATATGTGTTCATTTGAGTACTTAGAAGGTATGTTCAATAGCTCATCTCAAAAAGTATTTCTACTATTTCCAGTTCCTCAAAAGCAATTGTTTTGCTATCCTTCAAGTATACTGTCACAAATAAATGTTTTTCAAAATTCAGAGAGAAAGATGATTCTTCTCCTTGAAAAGCAAATTGAATTACAGTTGTTAGCCCACTGCAATGCCTGAGCACTGAGGACTGGGCCTCAAGGTAGTTTGAATAAAGGCATACTTAGCAAACAAAAAATTATGGAAAACAGAAAATGTTTTAATCTAAGTATCACAATAAAATATAAAATAAAAAAAAAATGATGGCCTGGTCATCAGGTAACTATTTTTAGTTCCATCTTTTATAGGCACCACCTTTTATCTTAGGTTGACTTAAAATCTGTCTGTTTCTTCATCTGCAAAATAGACCTAATAATTATGGCTGCTCTATAAAAATACATTACATAAATAAAATAAAATATGTAAGAAAGTACAAAAAGGTGATATATACTGAAAGTATCATAGTACCATTTTCACATTTTCTTTTACTGGAGACATTGTTTGACATCAATGAATTTGTTATGACAACCATATTATTTTAAATAAGTTTTAAGTCAATGTATTATTTTATTAATGTGATTTTCTCAAATGGCCCCTAACATTTATGTGAGTGACTTTTTATTTGGTGAGTGATCCAAGAGAGAATGCTAGATAATGAAAGTGTTGGTGGCAAAAGGATAAAAAGAGGATGACAGCCACTCAGCACTTACTCTCTGGAGTGCTATTCCAACTCATCCTTCCATTCTGTAGTAATCTTAGCCATTCTTTACATGGTACACTTTTTATAATGTGAGCTGTAAACTGCAAAGGAGAAATGCCAAAATGACTTTGTGATTCAACCTGCCAGTTTCTAATGCTACAACTACCATGTGAAGTCCTGAAGAGCTGGAATCAACAGGAGATCTAGGCCAGAAAGCCTTAAGGAGTAAAAATGGCTAGACTGTTCACTCCAAAGTTTTGCAGTAAAACAAACATAACATCAGAGAAAGGCCGACAGGGTTGGGGAAAGGGCTGAAGCACAGGGATGACCCACATAGTGATCATCTATTTGATCCTTAGTTTTATAAGATGTACTTAAACAAAGAGCCTAGCATTGATCATACCGTTTCATTTTCATCTACAGTAAGGACTCAGTCTGCTTCTGAACAGAATATATAATTAAACATAATGCCATGGTATTACTTTGATTGTTTGGGGCTCAATAAGACTCTTACTAACTTAAATAATCAAGGAAGAATTCTTCCATGGATTGAGGTCATCTGATACCACCTTAAATTAGTAAATAAAGTAAAATGTTTTCTCTAAAAATCAAACTAACAGAATAACTGAAATTAAATGATTGCCAATAATTGCCTTGTTAAATGTCAACCAAGAGGTTATGGGAAGGAAACTATTTTACCACATAGTTCTTTAACTAAAAAAAAAAAAATTATGATCACAGTTTACTAGAGTTTTATTTCTTCCCTTCTTTTTTCTTTAAGTCAAGGAATCTTTCTCAAAGGAAATCATATGCAACAGCATAAGAAGGCTAGCCACACAAGCACAGCTCAGCAGCACTGCCCCCACCCACACAGTGGCATCTCGTGATGCTAAAAATAGCATCTGGAAGGCAGAGGGGCCCATGTGAAAACACTAACTTAGTCTAATAACCACAGGCTTTGGAACAGTACCAAGATCAGATGGCAAAGAGAAGAAATGACTTTGCCCGATTCCAGTATGCTAGGAGTAATGACTAGATTTTTCCTATATAATAATTAATATTCATGAAGTCAATATGTGAAAACACAAAGAATATTCACAGCCCCAATTTTTCTATCTCTCAAAAAAAAGTACTGTAGAGTAGATTTAAGCTTTTCTTTTGGATACAGCTTTGTCTAAAATAAGATGAAATAAAATTCAAGGAACAGAAAAGCAAATTATAAAAGCACATTCTAATATCCATTACCTTGTTTTAGATATGATAAAGCATATACCTAAGGTTCAATGTCTATATATTAACAAATGAAAAGTAACTTATTTGTCTAAGTGTCAAATGAAAATCATTTGACAGTGATAGCACAGTGAAAAAAAATTTTTGAAGGGTAACCATCATTACATATTCCAAAGTAACCCATAAAATTAAGAGAACAAAAGAAAAGAAAAATCTGAGCAGCACTTTTCAAAGAAACTGGCTGAAATCAAACTAATAATAAGTTACAATCACCAGAAATCTCTTGTCAAACATACCATCAAAGCAATGAGATATTTTCATCAGAGATTGTAATTTAATTGGAAAAAGTACCTTCAAAAGTTTGGTCAATTATAAATAAAATTAACTTTGTAAAATAAAAGTACCCAAATACATGAATTTTCATCAATTTAAGAGCCCTAGATGGGAAAGGATTTTGTATATTAATAATTCAAACTACATGTCAATCTTTAAGACTATAACCATTTTATGCAAATTAAAGTTGAGGGGGCAAGCCAGGCATAGTGGTTGCAAGACTGCAATCTCAGCAATTGGGAGGCTGAGGCAAGAGGACGGCCAGGAGCTTGAGACCAGCCTGGGCTACATAATGAGTTCAAGGCTAACCTGAACTGCATATTGAGACCCTGTCTCAAAAATAAATAAAAATATAACAAAATTAAGGGACCTAATGTTGCAGCTCAGGGGCAGAGCATGTGTTAAGTGTGTGTGCTTAAATATCCAACACTAAATAAATAATGGATATTAAATCAATATTTCAATATTTTATTTTTTTTATTTATTTATTTTTTTTTGGTGGAACCAGGGATTGAACTCAGGCCCTTGAGCTTGCCTGGGAAGCACTTATTCCACTGAGCCATCTCCCCGGCCCTAATATTTCAGTATTTTAGATAAAGATTTTAAATAGTTTTTAATGTCAACAAATACTAAATGTAGAAAAACTGATAAACATTTTACAATTATTTATAAGTTTGGTATCATCTACAGCATATATTATAAACACTTTTCAATTTTATTTACTTTTTCTCTCATTTTAATATTATTTCTAATTAACAAAAACAAGATATACTAAGCACTCAAGACCTATCTGTCAATTTGTGTGTAAACCCCTTTAACAAAATAGGATTTTTTCCTAATCTTAGATGTCTTAACTGATTCTTACACAGGAAAGACATGCAAGGATAAGGTTAACATGCCACTTCATAATATTTAAAATTTTAACTAAGTTTTAAACTTTACATTCTTAAATATACATACTGATTGAGTTCTATTATAAACTACGATAAAATTAACTGTTTCTAAATTCTTATATAACTAAAACAGTAAGGCATACCTCTAATGCTAATCTGCAGAAGAAAATAAACCTCACTTTGAGATATATTTATTACTTTTATTAAAATGTTACTAGTTCAAGTGGAAAAATGTAACATTTTAGAAACATAATTAGGAAACATTAGGAAGTTCAACAGTATTCATGTAGGCAAAAAATAAATTATCTAAGGTAAAATTTCACATTATTGACTCATAATACCTACTTTCCAAATGTGGAAAGGCTAGGACTCAGAGATGTGAAAGTAGTACCTCAGAAAGAGAGAGAGAGAGAGAGAGAGAGAGAGAGAGAGAGAGAGAGAGAGACAGAGACAGACAGACAGAGACAGACAGACAGATAGAGAGAGGCAGAGAGAGTGAGCAAGAGAGCGAAGGAGTGAACGGTCTGGTATTATAAACATGGGTTTGTCATTGCAAACACTGTATCTGTGATTGTTCCTAACCAGAGTGTCTTGCCAGGTGTCATTCTCAAAGTTTACATACCATGCCGTTAAATGTATCAGTCAATACCAATATAAAGGACAGTTACTGGTTTGTTTGGTTTTTTTTTTTGTACTGGTTTCTTGCTTTTGGAAGACAGTGCTTGATAAATAGGCAGATTTGTACATTTTTATTACTTTACAATTTTTGTACATGCTTTTAAAAGTTCACCTATTCTACCAGCATGCCCTTATGAGTAAAAGACTGGCACTTACCTCTTCCCAAGGGCTGACAAACTGCATACGAGCATATCGCGTCAGCATGTGAATTATGACCACCTGCCCCCACTCTTCCACATCAACTAGTAAATTACATAGCTTGCGGTAATTCTTGTGAATCAAATCAATTCTATCAGGGCACACTTCTTCAAAAGCCATCACAACACTGCCAGCTACCAGCTATAAAGAAAGAAATAGTAACTCATTAAAAAAGTTTTCCACCCATGGTACAGCAATGTAACCAGTGTTATGACAACAAAGTATTATGTCTTTCAATTAAAGTGAACATTCACATTCTAATAACAAATTTTAAAACAGGTTCTACTCTCTCAAAAAATAATTTTAATACTTATAATTATTACAGGTATTAAAATACCTATAGTTATTCCACCTAGAAAATTAATGTTTTTGATATAGTATGTTCTGATTTTTATTTCATTAAGTTAAATTCCAATAAATGGCTTATATATAAATTATTAATCATTCACATTTTCAATGATCAATTCTTAGCTAACCTAATTTCAATCTAAAGATTCATTTCTTAGTTGCTAACAATGTAATTAAGTAACAAAGATCATATTTGTGTCAGTTCAAAGTGAAAAAGACAATACTTTCACAGTGAACTTCAAAAAAGACAGAAACTCATGTTTTTAGAACAAAAATACTTCCAAATCTTATATATTATAATCCAATTTTACCAACATAATTTATTTACAAAGAAAACACACTGGCTAAAATTTTAATAAATCTATTTTATGATAATATGTATAAGCTGGAATAATATATTATTTAAAAAGGCAGCTTCCCCCAAGATCAATTAATGAATCATACATGCTGATTTTTGAATGGTCATTCTTTTACAAGTCTTAGAGGAAACCAAAACTCCTTTCCTATGAAGATAAAGGTAAGAAGAGTATATAATACACAAACGCTTCTATATATGTACTACTGATGTACATGCAGATAGCCAACAAAATACGGTTCTGAAAAACAAATTAATAACATTTTCTTTCTGAACACTAGGGAATCTTCATTTTAGTGTCTAAAATTTCCCCAATGATTTAAAATAAGCAATTAAATAGCAATATAACTTACTGAAATGGTACTTTTTGAAAAATATTAGATACAATGATATTCATATTTTGAGTGTTTTCCCCCTACTTGGCTGACATTTAGTTTATTAATATGCAACCAACAATACAATTGAAAGAAAACAGCTCAGAATATAGACTTGCTATTATGCTAAACAAGTTTCAAATCCTGTGGGGATTTTATGAATTACCAATCAGTATAAACGTGAAGCCGCATTTATTGACTCCAGCCCTGCCCATGTACTGGTGCCTGCTGGTCCCAGCATGTATGCAACTCAATCGAAAAAGCAAAGAATTGATTATTTGTGTGAACTAAATAAAAATGTATTATATGTATAATTTTCTATTTGCTATTGATATGGAAAGGAGGTTAAATGTATGTTTTCAACTTCACATTTTTATGTCTTCTTACTTTTCAGAAATTTAGTGATAATCACATTCCTGTAAGATTAGAATTAGTAAAATTAAAAATTTCTTAAAACACAGAGTTTACAATATTAAGCTACAGAATAATTCATAATTTGTGAGATGTAAACATTTCTATATGCTTTATACATACACCAATATTACAATAATATTTACATCAATCGGTAAAAGATGCTAATGAATAAAAATAAAATACGCTTTACAATACTCCATGAAATTTAACTCAATATTCAATTTTTAAATGCTATATATCATCAAATTATCATGTACAAACCTATAAATTCTTCTTTTCCAAATGTGTTTAGACACAAAACAGTTGAATGGAAACTATTACATAACATTAAACTTATTAAACCAAAACCTATATGTATAGAACAATCGCACAACACTAACACATTCTCAGGTACTAACCAATATCATTAAAAGAAAAAAATGTAAATACAAATAAGGCTTAAAGAAACATTGGAAAGAATGTAAAGACAGCACATCTACAAAATAAAACTGACCATTTTGGATACTTACTTGATTATACAGTTTTAATAATCTGACCCTAGGCTAAATATTAGCAGAAAAATTGATAATTTTGGTCTATTAAATGTTCAATATTCTATAAAACATTCAGAATTAAAATGAAAATGATCTACTCAGATTTTAAAACCAAAAATATTGGTTTCCAAAAAACAGACAGTTAATTTCTATTTCACTGTGTCAATAGTAGCTTTTCCTATAAGAGGAAAAATAAATCACTCCAACAAAACTAGCAATGAGCTCATCAAATTCAAATGCAGTTTTCCATTTATGTATTTTTTATATTAAAGCAATAAACATGGTTCATTTATCTCCCCTTGGTTGCCACGTTTTTCTGTGCTGTTGCTATGAACTTCAGCCATTAGCTGTGCTCCAAGGTAAACTACATGAACCATCAACAAGAGTGACACCCCATCTATGGGGTTCATATTTTCTCCAGATTATCTATGCTAGTTGACAAGCTGGTAATGAAAAAAATCACACTAAGCAAATGGTTCCTCTAATAACAATAAATTTTCTATAAAATTATGAAGGGTACAAAACGTTTCCTTGCATCTATTTTGTCATGAATTCTAATTAACGGTGCAAAAACCTGAGAGTGCTGGGTCATCACAAGAAGTGCATCAAGGTTTGATTGATAACATGGTGCAAGTTGGCCAATGCTGCCAAGATTTTCCTTCCTTAAATTAATGGCCATCCAACCTGCCCTAATCATACAGCCCAAATGATAGTCCCTTCTTATTTCAATTTTCTTGAGACATGGAAAATAGGAAAGATCAGTCATTTATCTTCTAATAGCTGGATAATAGATCTATCACAATAAAACATCTGCACAAACTCGGGGGTGTGTTTCTTTGCCCAAAACAGTGAAGCTTTTACCAACATTTAATCAATAACTTATAAAATGGTGTTTTACCCCTACAGTTTATCTATGAACTACCAATCTATTCATTAAACATAATTTTCTAGCTAAAATTAGGAGAGGAAACTTTATTTCATCAAAATATATAACTCAGTTTTTCAGTAGGCACTACCCAATTTATCTTCCTAAGAAATTCTGTTCTCTGGATGAAATTTAAATTCTATTAAAAAGATTTATTTGAAATTAATATAAAAAGACAAGGAAATAAACACTACTGCTTTTGAGGCATTGTAAGTAAGAAATATATACTTCGATCTTTAATTGCCCAGCAAATACAGATTTATTTTAAAGGAAAATACAGTGTTATACACTTAAAACACTAATTCCTAAGTAAATAATAGGAAAAGTCTACAGAAAAATAGAAAAGTATTTAGAATGTCACACTGAGAATGCAGATGAAAATAGTGTAATCTAGTAATAAACACTAAAAATTATAAGCAAAAATGTAAGAATTATATAAACAAAATTTGTAACAGTTAATTGGAATAAAATATAAGTCAAATGTTTCCTTTCAATTTCATTGACTAAAATTGTAAGGTTTTGTAAATACCATAATATGGATATGGAGGGTGGGACTACAGGTGCCCAACAAGCAATTTAAAGAGATTGGGAAAGAGCTGGCATCTCCACTTTCATTGTATATCTCCTTTATTACCTTAAAACTTTGGGTCAGATTTCTGCTAAGCTCTGCAAACAGGCATGATAGTCACTTAAGGAGTATATGACTAAAAACTGGACATAGGTTTATTAGCCTTAAATTTATATAACTTAACTCATCCCCCTTTAAAACTAAGATTTACAAGCACATCCAACTGCCAAGTTTTACAAACATCGTTTTCCAGACATATGGCCATCTGGCCTGGCACCTAGGAGTCTCTTGAGGCTGACCTAAAGCAGGAGTTATCTCCTACTTAGATGCAGAGCCTCAAGTCCTCACCACAAGGATTCCTCTGGAGAAGCCTTGTAGACCCAGGCCTGTGCTGACATCGGTCACATCCCAACCTGAGCAGGGGTGGCCTCTCCTGCCAGCTATCAAACTACCCTGTCACCCCAAGGTCAAACTTTGGACTTTGTTTCTCCTGCTGTGAAAGTCTAAAGCCTCTATGGCCCCAGGAAACAGATCCTGCTATTCTGCCATTCCCATGACTCATCTCCCCATCTGGCATTTGGGCTCAGGTGCCTGAGCCTGTCAATTGGGACCCTCACAGCTGAGGTACTTCTCCCTAAAAACTCCAGGATAACACTGAACAAGATTAGTGGTAGATCAGAGACGACTGCAGAAAAGAGACATATAGGAAGGAAAAGACTAATGACATCTTAGAAAAGGAGTTTTGAAGGAAGAAGGGGTTTAAAAGTGGAGGAAGAGATGCCCCTTTAAAAAGTGTGAGGTAATGAACTGCATTTGCTAGTTTTTGGGGCCCTCAGGTCTGGCCGCAGTGCTGCCAGGCAGGAGCAATGCTCAAGGGCTGGGCCAGCATCCTATGAGCCCAGGCCCACTTGCTGGCTGTCCCCTGTGGTAGTAACTCCCGGCTACTGGCTGCCCGCTGCTGGGCAGAACCCACGCTCTGCAGCTCGCCCAGTGGGGAGGCTCTCACTCCCTGATCTCTTCATGTAAGAAGGTTTCGGAGGCTCCCAGAACTGGTACAGCCCCATAGGAACTAATTCCAAGGGTCCCTGAAGAATCAATCAGCTTTCACCAGGATTATTGTTTTTGTTTTTGTTTTGGTTTGGTTTTTTGTGGTGGTACCAGGGATTGAGCTCAGGACCCTGCTATCTCCCCAGTCCCTCACCAGGACTATTTTCACACCTTCACTGAGCTTTCACCCTAGTCTTTACTTTGGGTCCTGATTCCCACCAATGGGGTTTTCTTTAGTCATGTGACACCACCTCCTGCCCACTGTTCTCCTTTCCTGTAACCAACTCCATTAGGTGTAAGTTTGTGTTGCCCTCAAGTATAGAGTTCTGTCCACTTCCACCTCCTTTGCTCCTCTCCCTTTTCTGCAGCTCAACTTAACTTGCTAATTATGATTTTCCTAGGCACTTTCCTGTGCAACCTATACTAGTTCTTTGTCTAAAAGACAAAGTATTCATCACAGTCTCTCTATTCAAATCTTAAGTTGTTAATTATCTTGTTCTAGTAATCACCTGAAATATTAAGACACTTAAAATGCTGGGGAAACATAAGCATGCGGCACTGACAATTAAAGACAAAC